GCGATACTTTGCATGCGCCGAGCGCTTCGAGTACTTCTTTAGTCAACACAGATGGTTTGTATGCAGTGCTCTAGAGTCCCACTTCCTTAGACTACTTAGTCGTGGTCACATAGTATTTCAGCTGAACCACTCCTATTCACCTATTTAGGGGTCTTAAAATGTCCCTTTATTAGCGTTATTAAGGTAAATATAGAAGTTTTCGAGTGACATGCATATCAAGAGCTTCAGGAGTGCCTAAAGAATAAGTAAAGCTAAAGGAATGCTTTACCTCTCTAAGGATCAAAAAAATTGTGCAAAATCGAAGTAGTCCCTAATTTCAAACGCCACTATATGATAAGATATGGCCACCACAGAAGGACTGCAATGAATGGGCAAATACAAAAATTACGGTATTTCAAATGATTACCGATAACCGTTAGACGATGACTACGTCCAGCTTAGGCAGAATAATACAGGGATGTAGCAAGAATGAACTGGCCCCTTAAATGTGCCTTTCAAGTCATCAACACAGAGCTCCATCCCATGTGGTGCAAAAACGCACAACTGGGTTTATTTGCCGCAAAAAGCTTGCTGAAGAAAGCCTCCAGCACTGTAAACGCTGAAGCAACGATAATTAGGCTAATAAACAATATGGATAAGGCATAGGCGATGGAATAGGCAGAATTGAACGACATCACAAAATTTCATGACCTCTTGCTCAGCTATTAGTGCTATTGGTATGTAGTGGCCATGAGCAGTTGAATAAGAACTTACAAATTTGCATGACTTTATTGAATTCTGCATATTTTGTTGTCTGTGTCTTGTTCACAATTAGTCATAGCCAAAAAGAAAGAATTACGACTGTTTTTGCAGTTTATCGTCGGGTGGATTCGCCCAGACAACCTTGGAAATATGCTTATGAAAGGTGTGCAAAATCCTATCATCAAGAGCTGTTGAATCTACAGCTAATAAGCCTACCGAATGGTCTTAACTGAAGCGCGAACATTGTCGCCGTAGGCGCGTATCAGCAGGCGGAGTTTCTAAGAGATCAACAATACCTATATCCTTCCTGGACACTTGACTTACTTCCCCTCCACAGTCCAAAACTTCCACCCCAAGTTTCGTTATTATGGTCTAAATTCCAGACAGTGTAATGCTCGCCTCAGTTAGTGTTCCCCTTAATGCACTGGAAGCGAATGACCATGACTTTAGCACAGCCCAAGGTCAGAAAAAGCAGTAAATTTTAGGTCAGCGCTTAAAGGACTCGTTTTCGTCATATGCTTTTGCAGGCCTCAGAGTTCCTGAGTAGACCTTAATGGGCACTTAAGAGTTCCAATACAACGTTACCAACCTTTGCCGCTGAATCAGCAGCGCATTCTGTGGACAGTATTTTTAATGCCTCCAGGTAGTTGTGCGAATTGCGCAAAGATTTCAACCCTACCAAAACCAGCCTCTCAAAAGGATGGAAACAAATACCAACATACTCCAAATTCAATCAGCGCCGGTTGCCATAACGATGGTTGTCAAGCCTCAACAATGGTGTAAATGCTGGCACAGGACTGCAACGCGTTGCTACGACCCACCTCACGTACAGGTTTGCAAACTACGAGCACGCAACCGACCGATGTGCGCGCGTACGGCTACAGAGAGAAGACGCACATGAGAGTGAGAAAATGACTAGACAGTGGTTGTGTGTGTGCCTGAGAGGGTGCTAATCCTGCTTGTCTATTGGATGCTTAGCATGCACGTGGTTGCAGTCAGATGCGAGCATCTATAGCTGTTCTATGTGCTCGCCTGGGTGTGTGCGTATTCATCTGTGCCCATGAGCGCTCTCATTTGTCAGGACCCCGTAGAATTAAAAAGCTAAGGCCACTGGTACCAGGGTGTATTTCATCTGTCTTCGACGCTCCTAACTCACCTGGTCACTCGATCCGTAATTGCCGGGCTTCTACTGGAAAATGAGTTCGTCTGAAGTGAAATTTGAGACTATTAAGTGCGACGCCCCTAACGAAGTCCTAGACTTCATGAAGAAGCAAGCCATTCAGGCCCAGCAGAACTGCAAAACTGAACAGGAGATGGCCTCCTACGTTCGAAAAAGGATGGACGATAATTATAACTCTACATGGGGCTGCGTCGTGGGACAGAATTTCGGCAGGTTCGTTTCTACAAATCATCATTCCCTTCTTCACATATCAACGAATTTTAACGAATTATTTTGCCTTTCCGATCTTCTGCCGATATTTGAATTCAGCTTTACAGTCTGATAGCAATTAATTTGGCCAGTACCACATGCATTTAGGGTATTCATTCTTTTCATACACAAAAATACCAATAGAAGAGTAGGATCTTATTGCTCTTCCTAACATCCTCGAATACTAAGTCTTGTGACCTCACTTTGTACGCGCATTCTCCGAGAAAAGTAGTTTCTGTCACTCAGGCACCTTAACTCATAACGAACTAGTCAGTTTAGACAAAGGCAGGCTTTCAAATGGCCTTAAACAGGTAGGATGATCACAGGGAGGGGAAAAAAGCAGCCGTAGTGGACAGGCAGAGGGAAGATGAACAAGTCTAGAACGTGGAACGGGATTCTGAGGAGGGGTAACGGATTGAGCGACCAAGAATGTCTTTTAGTTTGGCTATGAAAATTCACAACTAAGATGATCATATACACCTGGCCATCGTGTTAAATTATCTCCGCCTTGCGATTTTGTCGCTTGTCAACGCAATGCCTCAAAAGAGTAAGCAAACTGCCCTAGCCATTGTGGATTTGTTGGTTGCGCTCCAGGATCCAGGGTCAGATAAAACGAAATAGAAGTTTTCTTGGTGCATTAAGACAACAAATAAAAACTAAAAAACATCTTGAACAGACCAAAATTGTAATTGCACCTCTTTTTCGGATTTATGCTGGTTCAAGTTTTTAATTTATATTCACATACAGATGTGCAGAAAATGGTGTAAATAGGCACAAAATTGATATGGCGGTTTCACTAATTGCGGCACCGTAAAGAGAAGGGTCCCGCTTAACTGTCAGTAGACTGTGGATCGTGCCATATGTTTTTTTATCTTAGCATACATTTGCAGGCTGTTGCAGAAATTACACTGCCACCAAAAAATACCTCCCATGACTTCACATCTTAACTCAAAATCCGTCATGTTATGAAATTTACTTTTTGTTTATTGTCTAATTACTATTCTCATTTCCGTTCTCGTACAACAGCGTAGGATAAGACTTTCGGCATAAATCCAGGCAACTTCTGTGTTTTCTTCCATTTTGTCAGTTTACAGTCTAGCGTGCTGCCCTACCCATAAAACTCCCTTTACCACAAATCACGTATGGCACGATCCACAGTCTACTGACTGTTAAGTGGGTTTCTTCTTTATACCTTTGCCCCAATTGCTACCAGTTATCCGGATTTAAATCTAAAATCCACAAAAAGGGCCTGGAAAAAGTAGGAAGAAATCACGTGGACTCAATACATTCATCAGACCCTCATTCTTAAAAACGTTCGTCAACTGAAGTTTTAAAACTTAAGTCTTGCAAACGATGTGTATAATAGGCAGATGGAACGCCCCAAACTGGCAGGACAGGGCACAGCTTCTAAGGAAATCTGAGAACTTAGAGTAATACTGTGGGATTCTGAAAATATCTTCCTCCGTTCTCATCACACGCTCAAAATATATGTTTGCTGCCCTAAGAACAGATTCCTCGGGGTCAAAAATTAATACGTCAAACCAGACAAGTATCAGGACTTTTGCATGCCGAACATTCTCATTCATATAGTTTTATTTGTGCAGATGTTTTAATTTGTACTAAATAATAAGATTAATAAGACTTCTCAGGAAACGTACTCGATATCCTCTAATTATGTGTGAAGAAACTTGCTAACTTTTCTGTTTTTTGCTTTTAGTGAAGTCCCCTACATTCCAAACAGTTTCGCCTTCTTCACAGTGGATAAACACTCCTTCCTTATCTACAAGGCTTCGGAAAATGCTGTCATTCAACAATAGTGATATCCTCCCCAATTAAAGTTTATTGAATAGCACTTCCAAAACTTCATTTTTTCTCGCTGGGCTATTCAGGATAGGAGCAAAATTCAATATAATAAATTGCACACAAAACAGTTATTTCAACGCTTTCGATAGAATTACATCTTTGAGGTTTTTGGATAATGCCTGTGCTAAAGGAGATATTTAAATTGAAACGACCAATAAGTTATCATGTCTGAGTTTGGGCATCATCTAAAGACCGTTATCAGCTGAAATAGAGTACTTGAAATTTTATGATCCCATCGTGATCTGCTTAGGCTTTAATATCAAGTCTATTTGATATTTATTTAGAAGAGGAGTTTTTTATTATAAATTGGACGCTCTGACGCAAACGCAGCCAAAACTTGAGGGCAAAAAGGTGAATTAGGTTTAAATTGTTAGACAAATTCTTCATTATATTTGGCATCATAGATATTTGAAAAGTTTTACGATATAGGTATGTCTGTTTTATTTTCATTAATTTTTCCATGCGGGACAAGCGCTGTCTCCAAAGTGAGTACAAACCGCCTGGAGCTGTTAAGAAATTCCGTCCTAACAACATATTTAAAAGGCATTTGTTGATTTAACGTTGCGAAAATTCCCATTGAAAATTCAAACGGCAATTTGGCGAGCATACGTCTGCTTTCGATAAATTCTCTCCAGGCCTGTACATTTATATGGGTATTGAAGTAATGAATTAAATGATACGGGTAAGTAGAGAATTATGCTGTAGCTCGGATTTGAGGAGGGGAGGGAAGAGTAAAAGATCGAAATTCCAGTCAGCTCCAGGGAGAAGTCGGGCCCCGGCGAAGGTAATTACATGCGGGTGGCTGGCTTCGTGGCTTTGAACCGTGGCAACTATGGGATCTGAATGAAGTTCTTCTGTGCGCTCAGGACCGATCCACGTAGCCTGATTGCAGCCGCCTCTGCCGTAGCCAACAGGCACTGCCCAGGTAGTGTTGGATAGGTTGACGGAACCTTGTAAATCACTCTGAAGGCCTCTCTAGCGTCCGCACAGCGGTCTGTGTCTACCATGTGCGCGAGGATCGAGCTGTTAATGTTTTTTATTTGACCCTTTCCTAACCATGCAGGAAAATCTTCTTTTATTCTTTTGGATAAACGCCGTCTCGTGCGACCACTATATTCTGCCCCAGAGGAGCAGGTGAAGGAATAATTCATTACTTCACTAGCCACATAAATGTACAGGCCTGAAGGGAATTTATCGAAAGCAAACGTGTGCTCGCCAAATTGCCCTTTGGAATTTTGCTGATTTGTTTGCTTTTCACCATTCGGTTGCTTTTTCCATCACGGACACACCGATATTGTCTCATTGATACTTGTTCCGCTAAAGTTTCTCCACGTCTGCCTGATGACTGATAGGAAGGCTACGCATATGTTAGGTTACACTCGTCAAGTTGACTATGAGATGTAGCTAGACCTTATTACATCATAACTAACTTCGTATTTGGAAGGCAAAATCAAATGTTCTCAGTATTTTTTAAGGTCGACACAAAAATTGTTCTTAATTAACGGGAAAAGAAAGGAATGGTATTTAGCAATAATGCAGTAACATCTGCTTCGCGTCCTCAGTCAAAAAATCAGAATTTCCTATCAAAAGCAATCGTTCATCAAACCTCCGGCCCAAATACTTTCATCCGCAGTATTCTTTAAACACAGAGCTTTTGTTTATGTTCTCGTAAACCATGTCATGTTGGCCAGGAAATGTGTCGTATGCAGGTTTCGATGGATATGATCCACATAAAAACGTAAAATTGCCCTAGACTGCTCCATATCGTGTCTATATAAAGCCTTACATGGACTCATTCCATGAAATCCGGGAGTGATTCATCCTGCATAAGTGACCTGGGTACTTTTTGAGACCAGTCCTACTAATAAATACAGAGATATTTAAAATCTTTAAGCAGTGCCAACAGAAAGAAGTTGTTCTGATCGATAAAAGAGGTTAAACATGAAAAAGCTTTACTACAGTGGAAACCGAAGTTACCAATTTATTTTTTTGATGCGAGAGACATAGTTACCTTAAACAACTCAAATCAGCCCAAGGCGTTTTGTTAAGTCTCCCTCCTTTGTTCAGAAACTGGTCTAAAATGCTCCTTCTTCCACTCGGTATCGAAAGGGACAGTCAGTGACTGTCAAAAGCCAGTGTTTAACTGATTTTCTGCATTTGCGGCGCAATTTTAATTCAAATTCAGGTTGATTATGAAGACTAGATACATAGACAAAGTCACCGAACAACAGATTGCTGGAGATTAAGTATCGACTCGAGTAGACCTGGACTGACGTAGGCTAGGTCGTTAATTTCTATCATGACTGACGATCCTGTTTCATTCACTTGAGTCAATGGCGAAAACGTCGGCGGCCTTGGTGAAGTTTAAACCCACGATAACAGTAGCCAGGCTTGAGTACAGCCAATGCTCTAACCACACCTTTTTTTGTTATCTGTGGCTTAGGGCACTAGTAGATGATAGAGTGAATAATCCAGTTAAGCGAAAGATAATAACGGAGCGGGTAAGAACTGCCTGAAGTCAAATGGAATGTTCTGCGCAATTTGCTGTGCTATGAAGGAAAATCTAGTCGGATTTATCTGAGTCTTTCGTCTGGCAGAGAGGCATACGAGAACCGATTTACTCCTCAGGTGCAAACGTTTGCTATCATAGGACGAGGCTTTCAAAGACAACCACAATTGTGGTTACCGTTACAGTTGCGATTCAAGTAGCGGGCCCTAAAGTCACTATCGGGGCCTCTTTCTTCTCAAACCAAACTCATTTCCCTTCAGAATTATTCAAAAGGAAGTCCTAATCGAAGGGGTCATTATCGAAAAACATATGTTTTTGTCCATTCATTATCCGGTCTTCACAGTAATGTACGTCACGGTAGGACATTGAAAATTGAAAAACAGCGAAAAAAGCAGTTGCGTGGGCGATAGGGATAAGGGATGACGAATAACTAGATCTGATAAAGAGGAGAAGGTGATTGCGATCTAGTCTGGAGGGGCAAGCAGCCAGGGAAGGGTGCCATAGGGGGATGCTTGAATTTCGCCGCTGTAACGCAACGCCGTATGATGCAATTAGGAATATGTGGGATGCATCTTGAATCAGGGGGGTTCGCGTGAGTGCCTCTACGAGTATAAAGTTGGGTTGGCTAGCTGTATGGCGACTGCCTCTTTATCCTCTCACGAAGGACTTTGAAGTCCCTCAACATCGTCTCTTAAATGATTGTGCCTGCTTAGTTAACATTTACTCGGTATACGCTATCAACCAAACGAGCCACTGTTGTGTTGGAGATGGGTTTTACTAATTCTTCGATTAAGGCTGGCTATATAAATAATCTATCTGTCCTCTAGCAGCAGTCCAGAAGAGGAGTTCGACCGGGAATTCGCATTGAAGTTTCAGTTCCCTAAAAGCACTGGAAGCAGCTCTATCCTGAGTGGGCGAAAGGGTGAGATCGGTTTTAAAAGTCGGCTTTAAATACTTAATGTCTTTTTTTCGGAAAGTGCCGAAACTCGACTTTGGCCGCAGTTTTTTTAGAGCACTTTTTCAGCCAGTAAAGTATACCGTCAGTGATACCACAATACAACACCTAAAATTAGTGGGGACGATATTAAAGCGCTTGAAACGAGTGGCATGAACCCTTTGTATCTATTATATATTTACCTTAACAAACATTTTTCAGGGAGTAACATGTTAAGTGACGTAGCATCTAGGCCCTAATTAAACAAGGACCTGAAAAGCATTATCATTCGAATCCGCCAAGCATCTGCAGGCTGGATGAATGGACTGACTTTTGATTCTGCATGCCATGCGAAGTTTGTTAACGATTGTTTTAGATCTCCGTGGACAACTTCAAGTTTATGGTAGCGCTGTCTGCGCAAGGTTTTTAAAGTACCATAACAAGTGGTGCGACCTCCGCCCTCCATATCAGTCGCTTGCCAACTTTCAACTTGCGGTCTGACAACATTGTGCGTAATTGTAAAAAAAGAAAAATTAACTTCGAATTTTGGACATATTATAAGCAATGAAAAGGTCCAAATTTGGTTTCTGTGCCATTTAGGAGAAACTATATTTTATCTCACCACCAGTCCAAATACTTATAGGAGTCCGCTTTTTCTAATACTTTTTTCTCTTTTGGCAATTCCTCTTTTGTACTGTGCGTCGAGCAACTTTCCATAACACTGATTTTCTCTTCTCTTAATTCTAACTGCTACGACGATCATCAAATTAAATACATATTTGGTGCAGTACCTTTTTGAAATCATATTTGCCGCTTAATACCTGAAAAAGCAAAGACAGTCTCTTCCGTTTACCAGCGTCATGTAGAGAACAGTTAACCCCTAATTGACTCAAGAATAGATCCGTCCTCTTATATCTTTGTTATCTTATGAGTCAGCCATCTTAAAACTCGTCTAGATTAGAGAGGAGGCCAGTTTTAATAAATGTACAATTTAGCCTAATTGTCGGACTTCAAATTCTTTGACAAAAGGTTTCCATGCACTGTTGAGCGCACGATATAAGGCAGATTTGAATTGTACATCTACCAGTCAGGCCTGTTTTGGCAGGCTCTTCGTTCCGCCAGGAGACTAAAGTCAGCAGGCTGGCAGTTAGAACAAGACAAGACAATCACAATTCCACTCAAGACCAGGCACGTCTGCCATGCGGTTTCGTGAGGAGGTACTGGTTGACTAGCGGCTCTAGCGTATGCATTTGTGCCAACGGAACCGGGCTAAGGTGAAGGCTGTGCCCTGAACCCTGCACCAAGCCCTCACAAAACGCGCGTCTGAGCCAATGTGTCAAGCAAGGAAAACAGACATCGTGAAGGCAGTCCTTTTTTGCGGATCATAAAAAACGTGGACTTAAATTCTGTGATGGCCTAGGAGCATGACGAATTCTGGTGGAAAACGTTAGAGATCTGCATACAGTATGGAGTCTAAAACAAGTAACTACTGACTCGATTTTTTCCACGAC